ACGGAGGGGGGGGGGGGGGTCATAGCATGTTTGCTTGGGTAGAAGTAACGGGTCCTTTGAGAGGGTTAGCAAGAAGAGAAAATATTTACCCACCGAGAATATGTTGTAGGCCTATAATTATGGGCAAGAAGTTGTGCATTAACCTAATTCGCAATTTGGGAAATGGAGAGGAAGGCCTCAGGGCAGCGTCGAGCTTCTGTTTTAGGCCCGTAACTCCTGACGTGCTGATGGCAGGTCGACCCGCATCCTCCTGCATCTTTCTTTCTTTTTTCTTTCTTTTTTTTTCTTTTTTTGGGGGGCTCTTATTTGCAAGGGGATTTACGCCGGTATTTAGTTTCGTCTTGGGGGTGCACTTTGCGAATAGATTTCGTGTTTGATTGGTTTCTATCTCTATTTCTTTCTCTTGTTTGATTGGTTTCTATCGCTATTTCTTTCTCTTGTTTGATTGGTTTCTATCGCTATTTCTTCTGTCACTTGATTAGTTTCTATCTCTATTTCTTCTCTTGCTTGATTGGTTTCTATCTATTTCTTACTTGTTTTTTATCGATTTTTATTTCTTGTTTAAATTCGTTTTTTTCCCTCCCATGCTATCTTTATTCCTGTATATTTTTTCACTCTTCTTAAACTATCTTGCTGATTTCCTTCATTCCTCTCCGTCTTATTTCCTGCTTGTTCTTCTATGCCAGTTCTTCTCTATCTTAATTCACCTTTCCTACTTTCTTTATCTAATATCTTCAGTATGTGATATGCACACCGTTCTTTTATGGGACACGAATAATTCTGCTTTTGCTATTGTTGATGTTATTAACAATATCTTTCTCGGTTTCCTTTGCTTCCTCTTTCCCTTCATTATCCGGGTCTCTCTTTTTCACTTCCTCCCCTCCACCTTCCATCGTCCCCGTCTTTCATCTTGCAAATGCAGGATTTGAAGAGCCTTGCAAGATGAGAATTAAGCATAAATCCAAAGCAAGAAGTTTTCCCCTACTTATAATCTAGTATTTGAAATGTAAACACTCTCCTCCCTGTGCATACCTCATCGACCTGCTTCAAGTTCTAAACATGTTTATAATCAACCATTCATACACGCGCCGATATATACATAGTCAAACGTTTATGAGTATATGTCAAGGGTTCTATCCTCTACATGCATTCATCACCCATTCGGCACTCATTTATCCGCATCTAAAACTTCCGAGAGAGATGTCGTCATAATGCGGAGACGTTGCGTACCGCACGTTCCCCCTTCTCTCTCCCTCCCTTTTGAGCTCTACCTTTGTCCCTCCCCCCCACACTTCCCCACCCTGCATACACACATACACACACACACACACACATCTCACTTCCTCCCTTCTCACTCCATTTTCCGTCCCCTTTTTTGAACTTCTCGCACTCAACCATTCTGCTTTCCTGCGCGTTCCCTCCTTTGCAACCCTTTCTTCCTCTTCCTCCTCTTTCACCCTCCTCCTCCTCCTCTTCCTCCTCTTCCTCTTTTCCTCCGTTTTCCCAAACACTCTCCCTTCTTCATCGTTCACCCTTTAAAATCGCCCTCACTACCCTACAGCTGACGTCCTTCGCCAGAGCAAACACGTCATCAGACTGAAACAAAAGCATATCGAGAACGAAAGTCAGGTTCACTGATGCAGCGCCCGGGGTCACGTGCTTAATTGCTATACTTCTTTCATGTAGTCCTAGAGGTAATGAAGTCGCATCGATTAACTATTGATCGCATAATCTGGCTGGTCGGAAAGTGAAAGGGATGAGGGGAAGCGAAGGGAAAGGGGAAGGGGTGAGCCGGGTTGCCTAGGCGCGCGGGTCGGTGTAGGTGTAGGCCCAGGCGGGGGGGGAGGGAGAGGCAGAGGGCGGGTGGGGTATGTGAAGAAAGGTGGGAGGAGACGGTTGGAAGGGAGGGAGAGAGGGAGGGAGGAGGTGGGAGCGAGGGAAGGAGGGAGGGAGAGAAGAAAGAGGGAGGGGAGAGAGGGAGATATAGATTCAGAGAAAGAGAGGGTAAGAGAGAGAATGAGTGAGAGGAAGAGTGTGAGTAAGAGAGAGTGAGAGAAAGAGGGAGTGAGAGAAAGAGAGAGTGAGAGAAAGAGAGAGTGAAAGAAAGAGAGAGTGTGAGAAAGAGAGAGAGAGAGCGAGAGAGAGAGAGAGAGAGAGAGAGAGAGAGAGAGAGAGAGAGAGAGAGAGAGAGAGAGAGAGAGAGAGAGAGAGAGAGAGAGAGAGAGAGAGAGAGAGAGATAGGGAGACAGGGAGTAAGAGGCTTTTGTGAAAGTTGCTAAAATTGATGTCATGGCAGTAAATATTGGTTGAGAACTACAAGGTTGCTGTCCAGAGAATACACTGTGGTATTGAAAGCAATTTATGAAATGCGTGCGTGAGCTTCTTATTTTACAATCTGAATGTTTAGGAAATAGAAGTAGCAGGGAGAAAGGAGGAGGAGGAGGAGGAGGAGGAGGAGGAGGAGGGGGGAGGAGGAGGAGGAGGAGGGGGGAGGAGGAGAAGGAGGAGGAGGGGGAGGAGGAGGAGGAGGAGCAGCAGCAGGAGCAGCAGCAGCAGAAACAGAAGCAAAAGCAAAAGCAGAAGCAGAAGGGGAAGGGGAAGGGGAAAGGGAAAGGGAAAGGGAAGGGGAAGGGGAAGGCAAAAGCAAAGGGGAAAAGGAAGAAGAAGAAGAGTAGGATGAGGAGAAAGAGGACAAGAAGGGAGGAGAAGGAGAAGGAGGGAGAGGAGGAGGAAAAGAAGAAGAAGAAGAAAAAAAAAGAGGAGGAGGAGGAAGAGGAAAAAAAACAGAAGAGGAGGAACAGGAGGAGGAGATGGAAGAAGAAAAAAGAAAAAAGAAGAGTAGGAGGAGGAAAAAAAGAAGGGCAGGAGGAAGAAGAAGAAGAAGAAGAAGAAGAAGAAGAAGAAGAAGAAGAAGAAGAAGAAGAAGAAGAAGAGAAAGAGAATTAGAAGAAAGAAGAGGAGGAAGGACGATGGGGAGAAAGGATAGCAGCAGCTGGAGAAGGGAAAGGAGCGAGAAAGGAAAGAGAGAGGCAAAGAGAGAAAAAAACAAAGAATGAGTGCATAGACAGACAGACAGCAGGGAAAAGATTAGGGCATCTAGACAGATAACCTTGTTCCTGTTCCCTCGTCGGCCCCATTGTTTCCATACACATTCTCCTCACACTTGACATCCCACTTCTCCCCCCCCCTCCCCCCCTCCCCCCCTCCCCAATCCTCTCCCTCCCTCTCCTCCTCCCCTTCTCCCCAACCTCCTTTGACCTCCCCCCCTATCCTTCACTCTCCTCCTCCCGCCCCCCTCCTCTCCCGACCCCTTTTCCCTCTCCCGACCTTCCCCTCTCCCTCTTCCTTCTCCTCCTCTTCCCGACCTCCAACTCTCCCTCTCCCTCCTCCTTCTCCTCTCCTCTTCCCGACCCCCCTTTCCCTCTCTCGACCTCCCCCTCTCCCTCTCCCCTCCTCCTTCTCCTCCTTCTCCCCTCCCCTCTTTCCTCTCCCCTCTCCCCCCTCCCCTCATCTGCTAGTTCACGCGTGCACCACTCGCTGTGCAGACAAATAGCCCAGATTTCAGGTGTTTGAAAGGTAAACATGGCTCTCCCACTTGGGCCAGGAGAGTCATTGTATATTAACGCGTTTTCCTCGTTCTGGCAGACAGGGTTTCGTGCCTTTGACTCAGGGGACTGAAGAGTGCAGCCGACAACTTTTTTTTCCGTTTATTTTCTTCAATAAACAAGGATGTTGAGGCTAACCCCCGAAAAAAATTATAGACAAGGTGATGCAGATAGATAGGATGCAGTGAAGTCCTGATGTGTGTTTCTCTATGTGTGTGTGTGTGTGTGTGAGAGAGAGAGAGAGAGAGAGAGAGAGAGAGAGAGAGAGAGAGAGAGAGAGAGAGAGAGAGAGGGAGAGAGAGAGAGAGGGAGAGAGAGAGAGAGAGAGAGAGAGAGAGAGAGAGAGAGAGAGAGAGAGAGAGAGAGAGAGAGAGAGAGAGAGAGAAAGAGAGAGAGAGAGAGAGGGGGGGGGGGGTGAGCGAGAGGGAGGGAGGGAAGGTGTGAAAGAGTGAGGGAAGGAGAGAGGAAGAGAGGGAGAGAGAGAGCTTGTATGTATTTTCTGTGCATTTCTTATGTACTTAGTATATGTATGTGTTTTTATATTTGCGTTCAGAAGTCCACAGGTACTTCCCACCTCTCCTTGGAATGTCTTCTAGCGAGACCAGGCCACAGGTCCGGCCGGCGTGTGTGTCTTGCAAACATTAATTCGAAGTTTGGTCCTCCGCTCACAACTCGATGCTAAGAAAAACACCCCCTCAGATTGAATCTAAACAAAGATCTCAATAAGATCAAACAAACTCCTTGAGCCAGAAGCGCCCGGGCCGGCCGAGGCGGTGGGAGGCCGACAAGAGCTGCAGGTCGGGAGGGCCGAAGGAAGAGCCTCTTGAGGAAAAGTTTGGAAGCGAAAATTTTGGCGCTCGAGACATGAAAGTTTCACGTGAACTGTGAAAAGGGAGACGGAGGATGCTCTCTTCCCCTCCCCTTGTGCGTAATACACAGGGGGAGTCATCTCTTACAGTGAGGAGGTCTTGAACTCGTATCACTTTCGGAATAAGTCGGGAGTAGCCAGAATATCATCACTTTTTCTGACAGTTTGAAAGCGAATGATTTACGATTCCGTGAAAGAATTGCGTAGATATTCCGAAAAAGAAATGTGGGTAAATGTATGTTCGTGTGTTGTTTTAGCTGTGGCGCTTCAGTATCCGTGTCAGTATACCCTTGCGTGCGTTTGCATCAATTCTCCGCGTGTATCCGATAACAAGCAAACCCAAATCCAGACCACACAGCATATGCACAACACTCCAAACTCATCAATACCAGACGCACCCGACCTCAATCGAGGCTCTGGTGCAACGGCAATCAGGGCCGAGCGAGCAACTACAAAAGGCCACCATTAACAACAATGACAACCTCCCATCTGCTTTTGCTAATCAGGTTCTCTCCTTTGTGTTGCAGGAAGGTGTTAAGAGCAAGCCTGTCCTACTGGTGATCTCCCTCGCAGGCGTAAAGGTGTGCAGTCCTGATGGCAAGGTGAGTGACTAGACTTAGTGAAGGTCGGGGGAGGGACCGGAAAGGTGACGCGGGGAAAGCGAAAGGCCAGGGGGAAAAAGGGGGGATGGAGAAAGAGGGAAAGAATTATATATTGCGAGAGATATATGCCTTTAAGGGTTTAAAGAAAGGAAGGAGGTATGGAGAAACGCAAGGGTAGAGTAAGCAGATTCTAAAGCATAAGAGGGACAGTGTTTGATGTATGAACGGAAAAAAAGAAAAGAAAAGAAGTGAAGGTAATTGCAAAGCTTCTGGGTAAACTTAAATGTCATTCTATCGGCGGTAGACAAGTGAAATTTATTATTCAAAGAGTGTTTAGCCTCAGCACGTAAGACCAGCCTCGAGGAGAGGAAAAACTAAGCAAACAATTCTTCAACACGCATGGACTCATCCTCATGATTAGAACCCCAGCGATCCGTAATTCTGAGGAGAGACATTTGCATAATGGATGCATCGGTGACATTGATCTGCACTAGCATGTATTATAGCACATGTGATAATTATGATACATGACTTGACAGTTTGTACCACTGTCTATGTTGATGATTAGTGATCATATGAGGGAATGGCAAAGAAGGCAATTTAGGCTCTCTGATGATCGATAACATACGAACGATAATCTGCATTCATTTAGATATTAGTAGATTTTGATGTGATGTGTAATTACAAGTGAAGTTGTGACAATGGCAACTGCAATGAGAATAACAAAGTGTTCATGGGTGATAATAACGATAGTGTTTATAACATTTAAAAACGGAAATGAAAAGACAATAAACAATTTCAGGGAACATTACCACAATGTGCGACTGAAAAGTATACTGATGTACACCATTCGAATTAAACTCCGGCTGTCTAAAATTAAAACAAAGCTGGCTCCGAAACGCCAGCACACACGCGAAAACACTGTCCCAATTAGCAAAAGAATCAGCAGCGCTGCTCCCCCTCCTCTCCTCTCCCTCCCGCCCCTCCCACCCCGCTCCGGCCTCACTCCTCCCTCCTCCTACCCCTCCCTACCCCCCTCCCCTCACCACCCCCTCTCCTGCCACTCCTCCCCCATCCCGCCACTTGTGTCCCTTCCCCCCATCCCCCTCCCCCTCCCCCATCAGTGGTGCGTGAAAATCGTAAACAAACCTTTTAAATTCGACTTGCTTTTTTTGAAAGATTTCCAGTATATGGGTAATGACAAAGAACTCTATTGAGAATTGCAAAATTGCACCGGTACCCATCTAAAAAGAGACGGAGAAAGAGCGGAAAGGGCGAGAGATCGAAAGCAAGAGCGAAGCGAGAGCACCAAAAGAGAGAGAGAGAGAGAGAGCAAAACGAGAGAGACGACCGAAGAAGAAAGACAAGAATAGAGAGAGGAGAAACGAGAGAGAGAGAGCGAAAGAGATGAGAAAGAGAGAGATAAAGAGGGAGAGCGAGAAGAGAGAGAAATGACCGAGAGAAGAGAGAGAGAGAGAGAGAGAGAGAGAGAGAGAGAGAGAGAAGAGGAGAGAGAGAGAGGAGAGCGAGAGACGAGAGAGCGAAAGAGAGAGCGAAAGAGCGGAGAGCGAGAGAGCGAGCGAGAGAGAGGCGAGAGAGAGAACGAGGAGAGAGACGAGAGAGAGAGAGACGAGAGATGAGATGAGAGCGAACCACGAGGAGAGACGATGAGAGAGAGAGAGAGTGTGGAGTGTAGTGAGTGAGAGAGAGAGGAGAGAGGAGACGAAGAGAGAGAGAGAGAAAGAGAGGAGCGAGATGAGAGAGAGAGAGAGGAGAGAGAGAGAGATAGACGAGAGAGAGAGAAAGAGAGAGAGAGAGAGAAAGATTGGAGAAAGAGAGAGAGATGATGAGAGAGGGGAGGGCAGTGTAGAGAGAGAGAGAGAGAGATGAGAGAGAGAGAGGAGAGAGAGATGAGAGAGACGAGAGAGAGAGAGAGAGCAGAGAAGACGTGAGTGAGTGAGTGTGTGTGAGAGAGAGAGAGAGAGGAACGATGGATGACGCAGAGATAGGAGGAGAGAGAGAGCGAGAGGAGAGAGGAGACCGAGCGGAGAGAAGATAGAAAGACGAGAGAGAGATGAAAGAGAACAAAGACAGAAAGGAGATGAGAGAAACAAAGAGAGAAAGAGAAAGACGGAGAGAGAGAGAGAGTGAGAGAGAGAGAGATGTACGGAGAAGAGGATGAGATGAAGATGAGACGAGAGGAATGAATCGAGGAGCAGCCCCGAGCAGGAAGAGGCAAGAAAGAGAAAAAAGAGCGAGAGAAAGACCCGAGCCCGAGAAGCACGCAGAAAAAACGAAAAAAGCGAGTGCGCGACAAACACAATACAACAAAAAAAAAAAAAACCAATTAAAATGACGAGGGGGGCGAGGGGATGGAGAAGAGAGAGATGAGAGATGAAAGAGAGAGAGATGAGAAGACGACGAC